ATAAGGTAATCTAGCTCTTACCCAAAGAGATTTTGCAAACCCTGGGATCATTAGCACCCTGAAGATTTGCATGTGTTGTGGCTGAGTAGTGATGTGTTAGAACTCAGAGCACCTGGGCTTCCCTGCACAGGAAGAGGGATCTCTGACTCTAACATCTGGCAAATCCTAAACAGGCCACTTCTTGTTGGTTTCATAGCTCCTCACAGATGAAGACAGAGGCATCTCCTCCTCTGGCGTACCCAGGTCACGGCAGGACCAAGTGGTCCTCCTCTGGCATAGCCAGGTCACGGCGGGACCAAGTGGTCCTCTTGTGGCGTACCCAGGTCACAGCGGGACCAAGTGGTCCTCCTGTGGCGTACCCAGGTCACGGCGGGACCAAGTGGTCCTCCTGTGGCGTACCCAGGTCACGGCGGGACCAAGTGGTCCTCCTGTGGTGTACCCAGGTCACGGTGGGACCAAGTGGTCCTCCTCTGGCATACCCAGGTCACGGCGGGACCAAGTGGGACCATGGGTGTGGGAGCGCTCACTGGGCCAGATGGTGCTGCTCAGATGCATGATGTCTTTATCCCCTTTTTGTTGAAAGTCTGGAATTTTGTCCACCAGTGAGTCTTAATTGTATTTTTATTCCTCACCTTCTGCTTTTCTGGATACCAGACACATAACAGTCATAAGCAAGCTCTACATTTACTGAGCACTTCTACCTATATGCCAGGAACAGCAGTACGGAGAGTTTCATATATCTCATTACATTTGATTAATCAGGTATTATTACCTTGATTTTAATGGTGAAGAAACTGAGACTGAGGAGGGTTAGGTTACAGCCTAACACCCAAGGGGAGTAAGTGGCAGAGGTAGAACTTGAACCCACCTCTGTCCAAGCCCATAGCCTTTGATCCATGCTTCTGGTAACACAGTATGTTGTCACCTTCACTTTTTGCGTTATTACCAGCTAGCATTTTTGTGGTTTACATCATGGCTTTCCATCTATGTCAGCCCATTAAGTTTTTTTTTTAATTTGTATTTGACAGATAGAGTTAGACAGTGAGAGAAAGAAACAGAGAGAAAGGTCTTCCTTCCATTGGTTCACCCCCCAACTGGCCGCTATGGCCGGAGCTACGCAGATCTGAAGCCAGGAGCCAGGTGCTTTTCCTGGGCCATCCTCCACTGCCTTCCTGGGCCACGGCAGGGAGTTGGACTGGAAGAGGAGCAACCAGGACTAGAACCCGGTGCCCATATGGGATGCTGGCACCACAGGCAGAGGATTAACCAAGTGAACCATGGCGCTGGCCCCAGCCCATTAAGTTTTGACTATAGAGAATTCATGAACTCATTCACATCACCACCCCAAGTGACTCCTACTCAAACTGAAGAACAGAGCTGAGTTATCCTTTATAAAAGAGATCCTCAGATACACAGCAGATTCATAGAATGACAAATGTCCTAAATAGCACTCTGGCCTCAGAATCAGCCCTTAAGGCATTTGGATCCGGCTAAAAAGCCCATGAGAGTCTCTCAGGCATGCAAAGCCAAGACACCGTGGCAAAAAATGACCTAAATGAAAGATCTCTGTGAGTGAGATCTCCTTGGAAAGAAGGGGCCATCAAAGAAGGAGGTACCTTTCTCTGAAGGGAGGAGAGAACTTCCACTTTGATTATGGTCTTGTCTAAATAATGTCAGAGTTTGTGAATTCAAGAGGCTTCCATAGCCTTGGCAGCTCATTACAAGAGCCTTGGGTGATTACTGACATCATAAATAAGAGTGTCAGTTGTTAAATCAACAACAGGAGTCACTATGCACTTACTCCCCATGTAGGGTCTCTGTCCTTAATGTGTCGTACTATGAGAATTAATGGTAAAACTAGTCTTCAAACAGTACTTTATATATATATATTGTGTGTGTGTGGGTGCAAACCGTTGAAATATTAGTATAGAGTTGATCTTCTGTATATAAAGATAATTAAAAGTGAATCTTGGCTGTGGGGGCCATTGGAGGGTGAACCAACGGCAAAGGAAGACCTTTCTCTCTGTCTCTCTCTCTCTCACTGTCCACTCTGCCTGTCAAAAAATAAAAATAAAAAAAAAGTGAATCTTAATGAAGAATGGGATGGGAGAGGGAGTAGGAGATGGGATGGTTTATGGGGGGGGGTGGTTATGGGGGGAAGAACCGCTATAATCCAAAAGTTGTACTTTTGAAATTTATATTTATTAAATAAAAGTTTTCTATTTAAAAAAAAAAGAGAGCGCCTCAGACTGGGCCAGGTACTTGTGCTGTGAGCTCTAACTACTCCACCTCTGTTTATTTTGTTACGCATATTCCACTCCTGTAACTGAAGTGCTGTCCTGGAGAAAACTCCACAAGAGCAGAAACCGTGTTGCCCTGTTCACCTTTCTGTCACAACTCTGGCCTGTGTGTGCTCCATACAGATCTGTTGAGCAAATGGGTTTCTAAAAATTGTGAGGATTGAAGTTGTATGATTTTGAGTGAGATTTGCATCATAGTGGGTTTATAGCATGTGAGTTGAGTTAGACATGTGAACCATCTAGTGGGAAGCTGGTGGAAATTCCAGAGCAGTGACTATGCTGGCCAGGGTGGCCTTCTAGATACCAGGCCTACTGCTGGCTGCTTAACCTGACCAGTTCTGCTTCCTGTGCAGAGAAACTGGGGAGGCAGCACAGGGCTGGGAGTGCTCAGGCCATTGTGCTCTCTCTCTGGAGAAGAGAGAGACTCTCTCCTACTTGGGACTGTGGGAAGTATATGTGTGTGTGAACACATGCATGTTTATTTGTGTGTGTGCACATGTGGGTATGTTACCTCCTCATGCCATACAAGGAAGGGCCATAGTACAGTGATCATAAAGGAAGGGAAAGAAGTATTGCACACTGAGATGTCTTCAGAGGCTTAATGGGTCATGTTGATGTGCGACGAGTTAAGAAAGGGAGTGACGAGGGTTTCAGTGATCTGGAGTCCAGAGTCAACCCAAACGTATTAAAATTCACCAAGTGAAAAGAATTGCTTTGTAGACAAGATACAGGGAGGCACCAGGCTGCCTATGGAGTTCAACTTTGCGTGTCCCCAGAAGAGGACAGCAGCGGATGGAGGAGAACTGTGTGCAAGGTGGTGAGTCGAGGGTGATCCCTCTCTGCTTTTCCATCCCTAGAATTCACATACCCTATCTCAGGTCTACGACAGTGGTATGCAGAACCCCACCAATTATACGTGCTACCGTTTTGTAGAGATTGTGTCCTAAAATTTTGGTTCTATGCACTACGAATGAGAGGTGGGAACCTAGTGAAACAAGATAATGTTTTCTTTTTTAGTGTACCCTCTTGTGATATTTCTAAACGCAGGTGACTCCCTTCCAGCTTACCAAATTCTAAACAGATCATCGGAATAATTCTGATGTTCCCGGGCGCCTTTTTCACAGATATTCCTCTGTTAATTCCTGAATTGGCTTCCAGGGTATGTGCAGGTCATTCTGCTCATATTATCTTTAATGAAGCTCTTTGCCATTTCTTATCAGCGGAGTCTGGATAGGTGATGCCATGGCATCTGAGGACCCTGTGTGGGCACCTGTGTTAATGTCAGGCCGTGTTAGAGTCACAGAGTGTGCAAGAGTCACTCACTGGACTGGACCTCCATTTTGGGTTTAATTATCTTACCCATTGCAAGCTCAGCTCTTTGTTTGCCATGGTCTATAGGGTAGAGAGAGTGTTGATTCAGTTTCCTTCCAGTTCTTCCAAAGGCCCAGAGGTTAGACTGTTATGAGACTACTGAAGCCAAAGGGCCTTGTAGCAGGACCAAGATTACAGAGCTGGACGAAATTACCAACTAATCCAGCACTTGCTTTTATGCATACATCCAGAGGCATAAAATTAATTGAATCAACCACTCGGAAACACGGGTATTTAGCAGGTGTGAAAGCAGAGAATGCTTAAAGATGAACTCCTGGAACTGTTTTCTTGCTCTATGTGTGAAAGGATGTGTAGGGGGAAGAAGAAATGAACACAGAAGCCCAGTCCTCCCTGGGGAGGGTAAATATGAAATAATGCAACAAGGGCTGGAACACACCCTTTCCTTCTCTAAGCTTGTGTCTTCAGCAATGGGAAGCATTGAGGAGGAAGGGATCCTTTCCCTGGGGAGAAAGGAGTGGGGGGAATGGAGGCCTTGGGGCTTCACGTGGTAGTCCTCCTGATTACTGACACCGCGTGCTCAGAACAGCCCACAGAGCTACAGCCACCAACTCCCGTATTTGTCACTGTCACTTCCAGAGCGCTCGGCATTGTTCAGGAAATTGTATGTGTAAAGTAGAGCTGCCTGCGCCCAACTTCGACAAGGGAGCAGCCTGGCAAGGGGGCTTGAGACTGAAACAGAGGCTTATATGTCCTATTATGTGCCCCAGCAAGAGTCATAAATAATTGTGACAAGTTTTTTTTCCCATCCCATGTGACAGTCCTCGACTCTGCCTCCTTTCCCCACTCCCCTCTGCCTCATAGACTAGACCTGCCAGGCTGTGTGATGATGGATGTCACCAGGCAGCAAATGACAGCTGGATAGATTTTTTAGTTGGTGCTTTAGAGGGAATCAGATATGCTGTATAAAGCAATAAAAAAAGCACACTCACAAGGTGGATTAAAAATAGCTAGCACAGCAGTAACCCACTTTGTTGTTTATCAAAAGTTAAATCTCACAAGGTAAGTCCTAGTGATATGCTAATTTTTCAGGCTCCTGTCAGAGTGACACTGAGGACAGCTACTAAAAGAAAAAAAAAAAGGATAAAGGATGTTGACCATTTCTGTGTGATATTTTTGTTTGTCTAATGAGACAAAAACACTTTCTTCTTTTAATGGTATCTAAGGAGAGAAATGGGCTCCTGGCACCGTGCCATATTGCTGTGATTTTTGTTTTTATTCTTAATCTTGAATTTTCAACGTAAAATTGGAGATATATAAGGTAGGGAATTATTGAGCCCCTATTCAATTAAATACCTTTTTTTCTTTTAGCTTTGCTCATCTTCCTCCCCGCATTCTATTGATCCAGATTCTGTGTAACAAATGGTCTGGTTTCCTAACCACCTTGGAAACGTCAGGTAGGAGTCAACGTAAGTTCTTAGTGTATTTTTGTAAAGAATTGCAGCCTGCTCTGAATTATTCAGACTTTCATCTCAGGCAGGCGGGCTTGGCTACCCGGTGTCTTGCTGGCTGTGTGGGCCACTGGGACGTGGTTCAGTGAAATACCCCAGTCCCTGACCCACGGCCCTGACAGGCTGAGTCGCGCTTTGTCCTTGCATTTCTGTCTGGCCCTGCACCAGGTGGGAAGAAGCTGCCATGTAATTTAAAAGTGCTCTGTCTAGCCCATCACGACTGCTTTCCCCTCTGATTTTTCTGATGAATCACGTTAGGAAATCCATAGTTTTCATGCAGAAGTGTGTGGCAGAAAGAGGGAAGGCAGCACAAAATGTTTATTAAAAAAATGTCTTTCCGTGGGGGTCCCAGCAAAGAGGGCCACTGGAGTGGTGCCTGTATCATTCAGATCTGGGGACAATGCAGTTCTGGTACCATTACATTTTTTGTCATATCAACTCACTCATGTGTTACTAGGTGTTGTTTATTACTTTGATTGTTGTCGTCTATTTTCTATGGCTTTATCACTGAATAGGTTCATTTTTTTTCCCCCAGCAGACATGAATTGATGAGACAAATGAGTGCTGAGAAAACATAATTAAATGGTCAAAGGGCAGGTTTGGAATTCCTGCTGCATGGGTTCAAATCCCAGCTCCTCTCCCTCCCTGAGTGACCTTGGTCAAGTTATTTAGCCTATTTTTTGCCTCTGTATCTTGAGTTGCAAAATGTGGATAATTATTCCCCCATAATAGAGTTTTTTTAGGACTGAATAAATTGAATTGGCTTAGTAAATAAATTTTTGCGATAGGTGTTGAATAAAGATTACTATTGGTTACAATAATAATTATTTAATTATTATAATTAATACTGAGATAATTTTACTCAGGCCACCTGCATCTTTCACTTCAAATCTTCCCGCATTTAATGCTGTGTGTTAGATGAGTGGATGTAAGTTATTGTAGGAATGGAGTCCTCTTTAAGAATAAATAGTTTTTAGCATTGATTCCTAGATTTATCGTTGGTAAATCCTCTCAATATAGGGAAGAATATTCTGTATAGCATATCACTGGTACTATTTTTAAAACTATTAGCTCTGCTTCACTGGAAAAGAACCTTCAAGAGATGTTGATGTGGACATGTCTGGTAGTGTACTGGAACACGGCTGATTGAGTACTGGACTGACTGGTAGAGAACCTGAACGTGACTGGTAGAGCATCCAGACATGGCTGATACAGTAACTGATACATGGACACCTGGTGGAGTACCTGGCAGACAACCTAGACGTGGACAGTGGAGTACCTGGGCATGGCTGATGGTACCTGGATTCCTTACTTGGTTCACTTTCTGTTCTCTCTCTCTTGCCACCACATAGCAACCACCTACAGACCTCCTTGAGTTGTGGACTTCAGTCCTATGCAGGCTCTCATCTGCTTCTAGAATCATTAAAAATATTTGGTTTTGGCCTTCGATTCATAATAAGGAGTACATTTCACAAGTCACCCAGAGTATGCATACATATATAACATAGGGGTTTATGTTTTGTTTAAGCAAATGTCCAATGAAACATTAGTTATCTTTGCCACATGGGCATTTTCTATTCATTTTTATTTCGTTTTTAAAAGTTCTTCTTTTGACCAGGATTGACCAGATTTTTCTGTAAAAGGTCACTTTGTAAATATTTTCTGCTTCGAGGGCTCCAAGTGCTTGTTGCAACTACCCAATTCCAGGGTTGTAATTGAAGGCAGCTGTAGATGAAACAGGATTGGATATGCACTGCTATGTATCAGAAAAAATAGACACTGAAAGTTGTTTGTTTATTTATTTATTTGAAAGAGAGATCAAGAGAAGTAAACAGAAAAAAGAGATCTCCCATCTACTGGTTTACTCTCTAAATGCCTGTAAGAGCTGGGTCTGGGCCAGACCAAAGTCAGAAGCCTGGAACTCCATCTGGGTCTCCCACATGGGTGGCAGGGACGTGAGCCATCGCCTGCTGCCTCCCAGGGTGTGCATTAGCAGGAAGCGGAGCTGAGGTTTGAACCCGGGCACCACAATATGGAACCATGGGCATTTCAAGCTGTGCCAAATGCCTGCCCTTGGACCCTGAAATTTGAATTTCATATACTTTTCTTGTGTCACAAGATCTTCTTTTGGTTCTTTTCAACTACTTAAAAATGGAAAAACCATTCTTAGCTTGCAGACTACACAAAAGATAGACAGTAGGCTGGATTTGGCTGTGGTCCACAGCTTGCCAATTCCTGCTCTAGTCTACAAATTGATTTTTATGACCCATAAGCTGCAGAGCACTCTTCTGGGACAAGCAGGGATGCAGAGTGTGCTGCTGGAGAGAAAGCATCGGCCTCACGTGGGTTTGTGAGACCCCAGAGTAGTCAGTGGTGCCTGCTGTTCACAGAAGTCCTGACTGTGACTGCCAGGCTTCACAGCTTCCTGAGAAGGGTGCAGCAATCCCAGCTGTTGGGCCACAAGACTTTTTTTTAAGATTTATTTACTTATTTGAAAGAGTTACACAGAGAGAGAAGGAGAGGCAGAGAGAGAGGTCTTCCATCCACTGGTTCACTCCCCAAGTGGCCGCAACGGCCGGAGCTGCGCCAATCCGAAGCCAGGAGCCAGCAGTTTCCTCCAGGTCTCTCATGTGGGTGCAGGGGCCCAAGGACGTGGGCCATAGCGGAGAGCTGGATCAGAAATGGAGCACCCGGGACCCAAACTGGCACCCATATGGGGTGCTGGCACTGCAGGCGGCGGCCTTACACTCTATGCCACAGTGCCGGCCCCGGCCCCCACAAGACTCTTATTTTGCAAAAAATCTCTGGCATTTAAATTCTGAGGAATGCACGTCGGGGAACCCTAATTCAAAGTATGAGTTTGAGAACACCGCTCCCTGTCAGAGGTGGCTAGTATTGGGCATAGACATCACAGCTTTGCCAGTAAGAAAGGTCTTTGGCGATTATTAATTTCCCAGTTAAGGAACACATTTTGGGGCCTACAGTGAACAGAACACTGTGTGAATCGCATTGAAGAAATGATGATCCCAATTCTGTGTTCTCAGGGAGTGGATAGTCAGATTTGAACTTGGTGATAGGCAACAAGCAAAAACTAGTGTGTTCTCAGTCAGACCGAAGGCCTAGGTGTGGGTGATGTCATCGTAGGAGATAATAATGATACCTAAAGGCATATCATAATTTCCCATTGTTTTCACAAGTGTCATTCCAGTGGATTTTAACAACAGTGGTGTGAGTTGGAGGGGATTGCCAGCACATTTTATAGGCAGAGAATTTGCATGTCTTGTCCAAGATTATCCTGTCAGTGAGATGCCAAGTCAAAGGTCCAGGTCTTCTATAGAATTCTTGGAGTTACACCAAAATTAGTGGGAATATTTTGAGGAGGAAAATTTTGAGTGATGTGTGGAAAGGACTCATGGACATGGATTTTTGCGAGAATCTGGAGGCTGCACAAATGTATGCTTGCATGTATGTGTGTGCACGTGTCGGTGTGTGTGGTTATGTGTGTGCACATTTGTGTGCATATGTATGTGTGTGTACACATGTTTACGTGTGCATGTGTGTGTGTGCTCCCATATAGGTGTTGATTTTGAAAAAGGCACAGACATAGACATGAAAGTCACGCATACTAAAGAATCACGAAGCCCTTTAACAGAACTGTCAATAGTGCCAAAATTAAAACAAAATAGCTAATCAGCAAAATAAAGCTTTAAGCCCTAACTCTCAAGTTAAGTCTTGAGGTCAAATGTAACTCCTAATAGCACTCCCAGCACCTGCTTCCTCTCAGAACTTTTGGAAGCCCCATTGTTTGAGAAAACATTTGAAAACATAAGTGCTATCAACTCCTTTGGCACTAGGTTGGATTTAGCCAGCAGATTTTGAGAGAAGCAAAGATTTGTTCATGTGTGGCCTGTCCCCTAAAACTCACAGATTACAAGTCCCTTTATGATTCTGTTTTCCCCAAGAGAGCTTTCACCAAGATCACTTTGTTTCTTTAAAAAAAAAATTTAACAGCTGTGAAAAATAAAATTACCTAGTTTGATAGGAGGTAAATAAAAGAGGCCCAGTCAACTCAAGACTGTAATTTGAGAAGGCACCATTGTTTAGACTCTATGAGGGTGGAAACAAGAATAAAAATGAACTCAGGTCGTGGCATTATTTCCAATTAAAAAATGGAAACCTGCTTTGAGAGACCGTGCTGCATATTTACCTCCTGTCTCCAAGTGCTGGGGCTTAGCTGTTCCACACAGCAGCTGCAGCTCCATTAGTGCTCATAGGTGTGATTGTTCTTACTGGCGTGTGCTTATCTTCTACAGTTTTGACAGCGGCCTTTGGTGCATCCGTTACTCTGTTTTCCGGAATTCGTAATTAGGCCTAAGAGCATCTGATGTACAGAATTAGCAGCACACTCTGAGATGCCGAGGGGAACAATGGTCCCTTTGTCACCCAGAGAGCCTTCCTGAGGGCTCTGACTGAAGCTGCCACCACTCCAGTATTTTAGGTTATTTCCTGTATGTCACATGTTGCAACCCGATGTCATCTTGTTTATGTGTCCTCCTACTTGTCTGCCAGCTATGTCCCCTCCACGGCATCTGCCAAGACTGGCAGACCACAGTCCATGGCCCGTGTAGCCCTCTGCCTGTTTCTGTGTGGCCTGTGAACTAAGGATGCTGCTTCGGTTTTCAGATGCCAGAAAACAATCCAACATTGTGGCGCAAGAAATTCAAATTTCAGCCTCCACAGGGAATGCTTTGTTGGAACATACCACGACCACCATTCCTGTGTTGTCTGTGGCTGCTTTAGTCCGACATGGAGTAGACTTGAGTGGTTGAGACTAGTCTGTATGGTCTACAAAGCTGGAAGTCGTTCCTCTTGTGCCCTGTACACCAAAGGTTAGCCACTCCTGGTCGTTGGTCAGTGTTCCGTGAATGTGGAGGAATGGACAAAGA